TTTAAATACCAGAGGCCCAGTGCACGACATTCACGCACTGGGGGAGGGGGATGGGGCGGAATGTCCCTCAGCCCGGCCTACACCCTCCTGCAGTCTGGGACCCCTTTGGAGATGTCTGACTGCCAGTTTAGGTCCACTCCTTGCTAAGCCAGCAGGTAGACATCCCAGGAGGGGTCCTTAGCGCTGTCATGGAGGTGGGAGAGGCTCCCACCACCACTACTGTGCTGTGAGCCCAACTTCTTTCTGAGTGGTGCTCCCCCTGTGGGAGCACACTGACCACCAGGGGGCAGCTCCTGCATTGAGCGTCTGCCCCCTGGTGGTCAGTGCACATCATTGCGACCAGTCATTCTGCTGTTTGGTTGATTTGCATATTGGCCTTTTATTATATAGGATTCATTAGAAAAAGCAATCTGAGAAATACACCCTGTCTTTAGCAAAATGAACTAACTGCATATGAACAAAAAATTCTTATTAAATGTGAAAAATGTGTATCATATGGTAATTCAGAATAAAATTCACAAAAATCTCATTTCTCTCATTCCCAACCACAACACAAGCTTTGGGCATGTGCTTAATTTTGCATCATAAAAAATATGGAATGATGCCTTAACCAGTTTGGCTCAGTGGATAGAGCATCGGCCTGTGGACTAAAGGGTCCCAGGTTCGATTCTGGTCAAGGGCATGTACCTTGGTTGCGGGAGCATCCCCAGTAGTGGATGTGCAGGAGGATGCTGATCGATGTTTCTCTCTCATCGATGTTTCTAGCTCTCTATCCTTCTCCCTTCCTCTCTGTAAAAAATCAATAAAATATATTTTTTAAAAATATGGAATGAGAAGAAGAAAAAAATCATACTTGTTTCAACACTCTCTTTTTTATATAACTATCACTTAATATTCTTGAAGTGTAACTACAGGACCTACATGATTTCCATATTCTCAGGTATCTTTCATAGAGTATTCTCTATGCTTATTCATTAAATAAAGGATTTGTTCCCTAGAAGCCACATCCTAGCACTGATTCAAACTCAAGCCAAGGTTTTAATTACAGTGTCTTAATTCTCCTGCAATCCAGTAAAAGGATTACACTCTATTGCTCAGCAGTTTGGTGGCGGGGGAGATTATTTTCTATTATCTATAACTAATCTCATTTTACTGTCAAGTCCTCCTTCTCACTATAAAAATAATGTAAGCCTATAGATTAAAGATCACTTGTCTCTTTCAGTGTTAAACAGTGACCAGTAAATTTAATGACGATGGAAACTTCCTGTCAGGGCTGTTTCTCCCCTCTTAACAGACCTTCGAATTTCTCCTTCCCAAACGGGCCTATGACAGGGAAGCTTAGTGTCCACATATTGGTGAGGGCAGGCTCTTCTCGTCTGGCCGATGTTCTGTTTCCTTGAGCTTTGCAGACCTTCACCAAGACCCTCTCATTCCCCCTGGACTCCAGCATGGGTGTGTGTTGCATGAAACTGGCAAGTGCTGCTGGTGATATGGGTCTTGCTTTCCCAAGTTTCTCAAGTTCTTCCTGTTCAGGAGCCTCCTTATCCTGACCCAAGGTCTCTTCGCAGATTCTCTTAGCACTTCACCTGTTACAGGAGCTTAATAGAATTTCTTTATATTCTAGAAAAAGTTCTAAACCTTATCATACCCACCACACCTCTGTTTTCCCACAACACTGTTTTCTAATGTAGCTATATGGGGTTTTGACAGCCAGGAATGTCCAAAGGAACATTAGAAATGCATGCAGGAGTCAGAAGTTTTTCATGAACTGTCCTCACACGAGAAAATGCCTAGTGTCTCTGGCTTCTGCCCACCCTGATATATTGTGACAAGCAAAAATGCTCCTACACATTTCCAACCCCCATCCAGAACCACTTCCCCAGCAACACTTGGAGTCTGTGAATAGCCAAGGGCATGAGTCAAGAGCTATCCCTCCAAACTCTGCTCTCAGCTGGTTCTGCACCATTGCTGTTCTGCCATTGGGTCATCATGATGCTTTCATTTAAATAATTTTGTGAGACATTTTAAGTTAGGTTCTCTCAGGAAACAGACTGAGATTTGTATGCAGACACGCAAAGTGCTCTCAGGAACAATACCTGTGACAGAGTGAAGGAAGCATGAATGGGCGGAGGGAAAAGTTGGACTGCAAAGCAGTTACCACACACACACACACACACACACACACACACACACACAGCTCCACAGCTAAGGAGCTAAGATGCCCATCAGAATTGTTCTAATTGAAGTAGTTTTGCTGCTACAGATGCAAATGCTGGGCAGCATTTGTGCAACTGTAGTTGAAAGAAGTTGCTACCTGCATTGCTAAGTAATCTTCTGTTTTCTCCTGAAGTAGACTTTATGAAATAATGGCAGAAGATAGAGTATTTTATTTGTCTTAGTCTATTCAGGCTGCAATAACAAAATGCCCTGGATCGGGAAGCTTATAAACAACAGACCTCTATTTCTCACAGTTCCGGAGGCTGGGAAATCCAAGATTCTGATACCAGCTGATTCAAATCTGATATGAGAACCTGCTTCCTTGGCTGTCTTCTCACCGTAACCTCACATGGCAGAAGGGGCGAGTGAGCTTGCCAGGGCCTCTTTGATAAGGGCACTAACCTCCATAGCAGTCTTATTGCTCCCACATAATTTGTGTAGGGCCGGTGGAATATGGTGAAATAGGAAAGATGTGTGAGTTTTGTAGACAAAGCCCTGTGAAGAGCTTTGCTGGTAACTGACCAATTTTGAACATGTTTATTAATTTTCCTTTTAAAATGGATTTTGCATATTGAAACCCCCACCTTACAGAGGAAATTGAGGACCAGAGAGTAAGTGACTGTTTCTCAAGCTCCCACAGTTAGTAGAAGAGCTGTTATCCCAATTCTCACCCTTTTTGACCAGAACCAGCTACATTTTCATACTAATTAATATTTTAAATTTCAGTAGTGCACTAAAATATTAGGTATTAAATCTTCACTTTCCCCCCTTGTGCTTAAGCTCCCTGGGGCAGGATCAACAGTGCTGGTTCATCATCAATTGAGCACCAATATCAGAAACAGAAGTCTCAACCTCCCCACATAAAAATACACGTGCACAGAGGCAGCTCCTATCTCAAATAGAATCCCGGAAGATTAGTTAATAGCAAGGAAAGAGATATCAAATGCCTACCCCTGAGACTGTGCCTAAAACCCTCCTTCAATGTCATTTTCAAGGGCCTTAGAATCAGTATTTACCTTTAAAAACAAACATCTTTGAAGCAACAGATCCTAATGTCTTAGGCGTCTTTAGGTAGAGATGGATCTGATATTTTAAAAACAAAATTTAGATGTCAGAAGATACGTCCAAATATAAGGAAGTTCTTTTAAAAAACTATCTTAAAAGTATAGGTGAAAAATGTTCAGATCCATATTTTCAAAATAGTGTAAGTTCTATAAGAATCAATCTTAAAGATACCATCAAATTTGAAGGATAATTTAATGATTATATCCCATTTAGATATAGTGTAAACATAACTTTTATGTGCAAAGAGAAAACAAAAGATATGTGTGATTTGTTTATTGCAATATTCACTTTATTGTAGTGGTCTGGAATAAAACCTGCAATATCTCTGAGGTATGCTGTATATGTTTTTATATATTGCCATATATTTTATAAACATAAATAATTATTATATACATATGGTAATATATGGAGTCAATAAAAATCAATATAGTACCATATATATGGTAATATATAGGATAAATAAAAGGAATGTAGGAGTACTCAATCATGACTACATTTGAAGACATAATTGAGGAATAATTGAGGAATTTATGGAATCTGAATAAGAGGCTCAGGTTCCAGAATTAAACAGCTTACTGTATTCTTGTTCCTTATCCTAATTTTAGGACGCAGATCCCTAATTGACAGTGTTGTGCCTATAGATACCCCAATGTCCCGTTCTCATACTGGAGTTTGACCTTTGATAAATTCCTCCATGAGAGTATCTGCCTTCTGCTTGATCCCTAAATGCTGTTTGCCTTGAGACTTGTCTTCTCTGGATGTGGCCATATAACTAAATGGTTGGAGTAAGGTATTTTTAGAAAAGAAGAGTTGATGTCAGTTTCATAACACCAATCACTTGTTCCCTCTGGGTACCCTGGGCCCACTGTGTCAAGTTGGGTCTCCCCACCAAGGTTGCCGAGCCCTGCGGATCCAGATTCTCAACCCTCCTGTCTTTTCTCTAATCAAACTCTTTGCCCTTTTCTGAAATCATCTCACTCTAAACATCTAATTTGCAAATATATAGGCAGATTTTTATATAGTCTAGTGATAACAAAACATGAAAGCTCAGTAGGTATATACATTCCTTGGTGGTATAAATTACAGTCATGTAGGCATTTTGGAAACACAATACTGGATACTATTTTGAAATATTTGCAGCTAGAATATCTGTGATAAAACAGATTTTATTCTCTAATGATAGCTTTTTAACTCTGTCACCAATATTCTCTGTAAATATTTTCAACAATTTGTCCCTGGTGATTAAAAGACATTTGATCTCTCTCCTCTTGTACTATAGCTCATTGGCATAATATGCATAATATCAAGACATAATATGAAGAAGTTGCCTTGGAAGAGAATGAAAATGACATTAGAAGTATTTCTACTTTGTCTAATAAACTAAAGGGAAATATGCATATTGATTTAAAGCCTGATTTTAAATGATCTGACAGTAATTCATTCATTCAACAAGGAGTTAATAAGAAACAACTGTAGGCCCAGGTCTGTACCAGGCACTTTGGAATTTAAAAGATGAAGAAACCATTTTCTCTGACATGAATACCTCAGCCCCACAAACATGTAATAGCTAAGCCTGTGAAATACTAAACCACAAGTGTGAAAAAATAAACTCTAAACAAGGAAATGAGTGATGGGAAATGAGGTTGAAAATACTACTTAGCAAGCCAGAAGAGACTATTGATATGAATTTAAAGCCACACCCACTCACCTCCAATCAAACCTCAGGTTTGAACTATTCAGATTTACAGTAGTGACTTACTATTTCGTCTTCCAGTTCTTGGTCAGCTCCATCCAAATTTCCCTGGAGAAAAAGAGCCTTTTGCTTCTCTGCTATTTCATATGTTGGAAGCATCTCATTCTCATTTTGGAGTGTATCTAGTTTTTTACTAAAATGTGCCATCTTTACATCTTGGCTAATATTTTCAATGATGTCCACAGCATTTTCAGGACGCTCATCTAAGATCCTGGTCAGCATATTAGAAAGATGGTCATATCTATCCAAAAAGAGAAAATTCCAGGTGTTAACCCATGTCAAAAGCGTTTGAAGAAGCATTTCATGCAGATTCAGGGAGCTGGTGTTTAGGAAACTTCAACAACTCAAAACCTTCACAAATTTTAAGTGAATAAACATGGTAACTTCCACTGCCAGAAAAACCTATTCTAGAATTTTCCTTCAAAAATATCTCCAATATGATATGAATATTTAAAATATTAAAGAAAAACATATTGTAGAAAGATACATATTTTATAACAGGAACATTTCACATTTTATTTGAGAATGAAATCTCTTAGTTATATATGTTAAAGTAATTAACATTTTTCTTTTTTTTTAACCTTAACTTCTTTTCCATCCCTTTCCCAACTCTTGCCAAATCCAATTTGATTCATAAATCCTACTGACTTTCTTAAAAGATATGTTATCTTCTGTTTCATTTCCTAAGCCAATTATCTACTTCAGTGTTCTTTAAACCTATTAGAAATACATTTCATATTGCAATCCCTGCCCACATGCAACTGAAAAAGAAGTGTCATAAAATATTATTCACCTTTATTAAAATGTAACACATCTAATACAGTATTTTTGTCTTATTAAAAACACTGTCCTAGCTTTTTATTTCATAACTGTATTAGTGAAGCTGCCTCTAACCTCCCATTAATTCATTACATCCTATATAATAAAAGCCTGATATGCTAAGTCGTCCAGTCATCTGTTCAACCATTTAAAGCGTAATTTGCTAATGATGTGCTAAGGCCACTCAACTGCTCTGTATGATGTGCATTGACCACCAGGGGGCAGACACTCACCCAGGACCTGCCCCCTGGTGTCAGTGTGCTTCCACAGGGGAAGCGCAGCTCAGCCAGAAGCCAGGCACATGGCGGGCTAATGCAGCAGCAGTGGTGGGAGCCTCTCCTGCCTCTGCAGGCCTAAGCTGTCAGTCAAACATCCCCCGAGAGGTCCCAGACTGCAAGAGGGCACAAGCCGGGCTGAGGGACACCCCCAAGTGAATGAATTTCATGCACTGGGCCTCTAGTTTTATACATAATGGTGAAAGTGTGCCTTTCCAAATACCAGACTTACAATGTGAACTTAAGAACTGAATTGTCTGTCAATGTGCTCTCAGGTTAGATAGAAAATCCTCTGACCAATAAGAAAACTTGCATAAATTTTCTCTCTGACAGTTAAGCATTTAATCTCTCCAATTTCATTTCTAATAATTAGTTCAATGATAACTTCTCCCCCAGTGAGGTAAATCTACTGCAAATCACTTTAATATAATTGCTAAGTCCTACCTGAGAGCCTTTGCTTGCTGTCTCCCATATATATCATTTCTCTCAAGAAATTATTTGCAACCACTTTGTCCTCAGGTCGGTCCTGAAAATCATTCTTCCTCAGTGTAGAGTGGGCCTTTCTGAGATCACAAATATGCTGCTTTGTATTTGTGTAAATGACATACCTCCCAATCAGCAACTGCATTCGATTCTTACATCGTCAAAATTAGGTTTTTGTTTTTGTTTGTTGTTATCTCAATGTATGTCAAATAGGGTCTGCATACAAGAGAGTGAGGTTTTTTTTAGGAAGGAGTTTTTAACAACTGGCTCTAAAGTACCTAGAAGAAAACGGTGAATATTAAGATATTCATTTATTACCGCAGAGACTGAGCATTTGGAAATGAAATAAAAGTTAGATACTTAAGCAATGTCCACTATAAAAAATCAGTAAAGGAAGCTTGCCCGTTTTTGTGTTTGTATTAGGTTTTAAATGGTTAGTGAGATCTCGAGTATGTATAAGGAGCTCTTTTGGACTTTTCACAAAGTTTGTAAATTCCTGCTTGTTACTTAACCCAGAGCATTATGATGAGAGTTTATATGAGAAATTCAAGTAGAGTCCACTACTGAGCAGCAGATCACATCCCTAAAGCTTAAGAAAATTGTAGTTTAAGACAGTAATTTGTAAATAACATTTTAAATGGTCAATCTTGAGTTTTGTGAAAGATTTCACACATTAAATATGAACACTTTTTATTCTTTAGACCTTAAAATTATGGTGACTAATTCCCCCGGTTTGCCCAGACTAGGAGTTTCTTCAGATGCAGAGCTTTCAGCGCTCACATCAGGATAGTTCCAGAAAAACAGATAACTGGTCACCCAGGACTGGCCTGGTGAGAACTCAAAACCAAGCCAGCGAGCACTCTGATGCTGACAGCAGAGCCAGGTGCTCCCCGTCACTGGCAGAAAGCTACTGTTACAAGCTTCTTGAAGAGACACTGGGACTTCACTATTCCTTTGGTCTCTTTCACACCCAACATTCCATAATTCCTAGGCTTTGTTTTCTGCGCCAAGGGTCTTTAAAGAAACTAGATGAATCCCCAAAAATGACCTATTTTGAGGCCTGTGATGCAAAGACTTATTAAGCCACTAACTCATACTAATACAGACTTTTCAAAATTATTTCCCCATAGAAACACTCTCACCCAGAGATACTCACACCCTCTTTCTTTGCCATACTTTCCTCTCCTTTTTCCTCCAGGACTTACAGATTTAAGCCTGACTTGCTACTGGTCTTCAGTAGGTAAGCCTTAGCACTCTGAACGGCAATCTCAAGCATGCTGGGGGCCGCTTCAGGCTCAGGCTCAGCCTCATCCTCATCCAGATGACGTTTACTGTCTGAGTCTTCCTCCTGAGAAATGTCACATCTCAGGTCTTCCTGTTTAGAGTTGTTACCGTTCGCGTCCCTCGGCTCATACAGGTGACCGTCGGTTTGCTGAAGCTGTTGAAAGGCGTTCCCCTTTGACTGGCCTGTTTGATGTGGAGTTGATTCTCCTTCATCAGATGATTGTTGCAAGTGGTCAGGGTGAGGTGTCCCGGCTTCAGGAATCGCCCTCGCGGTCTTGTCTAAGCTCCACGGTGCAGCCCCAACAGAGCCAGAGGAGGAGGGGAGGAGGGCTCCCGAGGAGACATAGATGGTGATGCACCTGGTCCCGCGAGGTCATCCACAGGTGGGCTGCCTCTAGATGACGGGCCCCCAGGTGGGCTGCTCCGGGGCGGGCTCCCAGGTGGGCTGCTCCCGGGCGGGATCCCAGGTGGGCTGCTCCCGGGCTGGAGTCCAGTGTCAGGCCCCTGCTCTGACTCCGGGTGTTCAGATAATCCAGGCTGAGGATCTTGGGTAGAAGCTGCTGTCATTTCGTCCCACGGCCTCCCTTCTTCCCCCGATTCCTGGTTTTCTTTTTCTGGCTCCAGGGCGCTGGACTCTTCCATAGAGGGAATCAAGAAAAAAAACCAAAAAACTTCTGGATGAAAGGGATTGTGCAGATGTG